TAGTGATTAGTAAATAAAATATCTTTGATTTTTTTAGACGTTTCGGTAGAACAAATTTGTGCAATCTTTAGATCTACAATTTTTGTAGTGATTAATTTTGTGAAATTGTGTTTGTTTTGAACTTTGTTTCAAACGTCTAGTTTCGGGGAAAAAATCTTGCTTTTGAGATTTTTAATTTTTTTGTCGATAAATGATAAAAAAATGTTTCTTGTTTTTATTTTTGGTAGACAAATTTGTGCCATTTTTAGATCTATATTTTTTTAAATTTTTGTAGTGATTAATTGTGCAATATTAGCTAGATACGTAATATTATCAACAGGTTGATTTTTATTTTGCTTTTATGTTTTTTCTAGACGTTTTAGTAAACTAATTTAGGTCTAAAGTTTTTTAAAATATTAGCAGTGCATTTAATAGTATCATGGGTCCAGAAATTATTAAACAAAAATTTCTTGTCTTATTTTGTTAGACGTTCCGGAAAACAAATTCCTGTTATCATCAGATTTATATTTGTTTTAGTGTTCATAGTGGCTAATTTTCGGGCAACACAATAATTTGTGATTTGTGATAAAAATAATCTTATGTTTTTGTGTTTTACAACATTTATTCAACAAAAACATCTAATAGATATTTGATTTTGATAGAGATTTGTGAACTTTAATAGAGATTTGATTTGATTTAATGTAGACAACTTAGTACTATCATTAGGTGTACAATTTTTAATTTTTCATAATGATTAAATTCGTGAAATATTAGGTAGATACATAATTTAACCACATGTTCTGTTTTTTTCGTTCATTAATCACGTGATCGATTTTTAAGGATTCTGGACAATTCTCCCTTAGTAGCAAATGTCGTTAAATGATAATGACAATGATTTTTTTTTGCAACTTTATAACTTTTTTTCAGGTTTTGGTGAGATATTTTTGCCCCATCCTTTGTCCCATATTTTATAAATAATTTTATATAAATTCAGAAAATACATACTTTAAAAATAATTGTTATTTTTGTCAACAAAAGAATTAAAAGATCCAATCTGGGATAAGAATTTGTCTCATATATCCACCGTCTGATCAGATTTTTCTCTTATGCTAAGATACTTACTATCTGCTGATTAAGACAAGATAATATGGTACGATTTTACAATCTGTTTAAAATAAAATTTCATAAAAAATTAAATGTATTCAATTAACATCGTTTGTGCTAACAGACTAAGCTTATCTAAAAATCCTAAATATTATTATCTTATTTTCCAATTAGACCACAGATCAAACTTGTCCGAGAATAGGTCAAAAATTTCTGAAGTCAATTAAGAAATCGCAGTAACACAATTGTAATAATTAATAATTGATCAATTCTTAAACTTAAAAAAACATGCATAAAAAATTAACAATTAGCTTTATCTTCATGTTTTATTTCATTAACGCCAATCGACTATAAAAAAAACTTTATTTACTTTCAATATCAGTTCTTAAAATTAATTTGAACTTTATATAATTTCAAATGATAAATTTCCAAGTCACTTTACCCATGTCTATTATGAGTTTATCTAAATTCATTATTTTTTCAATTTCAGGTCTGCACAATCTGCACGATATAATGAACGGTAGTTCTTTGGCCGCCCTGCAGGGCGTCGGTGGAGCAGGAGACCATGCTCCTCCGCCACCTCACGCGCCATCTTCAGTGCTGCACCATGAACCACTGGAGAAACTAAAACGTGGTGATACTCGTTAAATAATAATATATATATATATATATATATATATATATATATATCTTATATTTAAAATTCTTCTGTGGGTGCATCATTCGATACTTCTCCTAAACGGTTATTCGGATTTTGATCATTCTTTTTAGTATCTGTCAATGGAAATTTTTAAGATTTAATGAACAACACATAAAACTATAGAAATACTGTAGAAGTAAATGGCAAAAATTACAAAAAAACATTTATCATTGTTTGACATTGAAAACATTTCTACTGTCATCTGCTAGAAATGTCAATTCACTTGAAATTCGAATTTAGCTGAAATGATGAGTCTAGATAATATTAGAATGTAATATATAAGAAAAATGTAATGTCTACATTATTATTGCCCAAAAGCAGCTGAGATTTTCCAGAAATTAAAATATTTTAAGATACAGTATTATAATTTTAGTGTATATTTAAACCTTCAAATTTACTTCAAATTTCATATTCTTTCTAATGAGTGTTCAAAATGTATATTGAATAGATGGGTTAAAGACGTGAAGTCTAACTTATATCATAAATATGTAATGAAATTCTACTTTTTTTTTAAATAGTTGTATGTATCACAATAAAGGAAAAATTATCATCATCCTCCACTTTCGTCCTAATTTTCTCCATCAGTGGACCATCAGTACCAAATTGCGATATCTTTCCTTATAAATCTTTTGTATCGACCTTGTTAGAATTAGAGAGATACATGGCAATACTGTGTAATCAATCTTGTATCGACATATCTCTTCTTAAATATATGGACAGAGAGGAATCTAGAAGAAAATTCCATAACCAGATCCTAAACTTCATTCACATAGATCTAAAATATTTTATTCGTATTATATGCTCACATTTTTATTTATTAAATAGTTTATTTCTTTAAGATTTTTTTAAATTTTTTTAACTTTTCAAAGGGACATTTTTTTGGTTTTTGTCAAATAACTCACTAATGTTATATGAAAGCACCCTCTTTCTGCTAGATAGGGCGAAACTAGGACAGCCATATACATGCCAATATAAATATTTGGAATAAAACGACTTTGAGTTCGATCTTTCATATTCTCTTGCATTTAAGATGTATTTTCTCTGTAGTCATGATTTGAACGAACATCCTAAAATAGTAGTGCCCTACAAAAAGTGCATTATAAAGTATAAAATGCATTAATTTAATGAGAATGGTCCGAGCTTTTAGTGCATATAATGTACTATTAAGGTGACCATATTTTTTTAATTCAAAACCGGGACAGCAATTTTTAGTTATGAAATCCTGGGACAGCGGGGAGAGGGGTAGAGGGTCTTTTAAGTACCAAATGCCTTAAAAATAATTTTTCAATATGAATCTTTTTTTTAATTATTATGGCAACCTTTTAATAAGAACTTTATTTTTAGAATATATGTAATGCTTCTTTATCTACGATATTACATTATATCTTATATTTTTAGATTTTATACTTTTTGCTTTTGAGCCTTGTATAGAATTCTATTCCACTTTCTTCATAATTAATTGAAAACAATAGCACTTGTTTGTATGTTTTCATAATTTTGATAATTTACCTATAACAAATATTGCTTTTAGAAAAACCCGGGACACAAGGTGCAAATCCGGGTCTGTCCCGGGACTGTCATCTTACTACTATAATTAATTTTTTGTATTGTTGTTTTCCCTAATAGTTTTCCTTCATAGTTCGTCTCTGTCCTCCGTCACCCAAATGTGTCTCATTCACCTTCGTCCAAAGGGACGTATCATTGCGTAATTACGAGCCCTTATGGGACCAAACACGATATAAATTTATCATTTATATCTTATCTTGGGGCAGAAGGGGAGGACCTGGGAGGACCCTTTTGTGCAACTGATGCGCACGAGGGGGCTCCTTTTTGTATCGATTAAAAGTTAGGTGAATCAAATTATAAAGGACAATTGGTAAAGGATATTGATGTACAAACTAATTACGAAAAAAAATGATGATAGTTCTTTTAGTACTGACTCAGATGCTAAAGATATTAAGATGATTTCCAATAATAGAAATTATGGTCAACTTTGAATGATGATACTGATATTCTCAAAGACATTTTTTTGAAATATCTTGAATGTATGTTTGTTTGTCAGTAGAGTCCTCTTAAAATTGGTTCACTTTGGCTAAGTTGGAGCACAAACCTTAGAAGTACTTCAATATTTTTTGCCAGAATGAAAAATTTCCAGATAATTTTAATTATCAGATCTAATCATCTAATAGCTCCTAATATCATCTAAATAATCTACAACAAAATCATCTGACAATTTGATTGCGTTTGTAATCCGTTCATCTGTATCGGATTACAAATTGCGCACGCGAATCTCCCCTATCATCCCTCTATGTGTAATAATAATACACTTTGTTAGTTTTTAACTCAGGGGTGAGAAATTAAGCGTGACGCTTAAAAAAAAGATCAAGGAAAAAGATACATACATACATAAATAGACATATATATACATATATATGTGTGTGTATGTATGTATATGTACGAGGGTGACCCCAAAAATTTGCCTAAGTCAATTACCCGTAACTGATAATGGGGTGTAAGGTTTTGTCGAAACGTTTCGGTATATCACGTTTTCCATACAAAAGGAATTAAGATTGATGATTTGAGTAATAAAGAGTAAGAATATTGTCTTCAAGTAAGTAAATGTTTAGTTTGCCTATTGGCAAGTTATCAAAATATTGGTTATAGAAAAACAGAGTGCGCGTAAGATTCACACGCGATTGAAGTAAAACTTATTTGCTACTGTACAACTTGGCAATCAAGTAAAAATAAATACATCATATAACAATTTTGATTTATGTTTATTAGTAATATGATGCACACATTTATTAGTGTCAACCATTATACACATTTATATATATTTTTTTTTTATTTTTTTTTTTTTTTAATTTCAATAATTATTACAACTGCTAATTTATTAACATCAAGTAATATTGATAAATAATAATATAAATTTAAATAAATAAAAGACATTTATATAATAATAAATTATATTTATATATGTTTATAATAGCATTAAAAATATGTATAATATTTAAAAACAATAATGTAATCAAAGTCATACTTCAAATATGACATGATCGGTTTGTCATTGTAATTAGAATTTAGAAATGAACCTTCATTAGAGAAATGAAGTAATTGCTGATTAATAAATTCTGTAATATTCGTTCACACGGATTATGTTAAACAACGCTCACACAAATATTGTTTTCGCAACTTCACTCATCATCTAATAATTGTGTTTGAAGAACTTCATGTAATTAAAATTAATATACATTCATTGACTGCTTGTATTTTTTTTACTTTTTCGCTGGCGATATAATCTCATTCTTTGAAAAGCTATAATATCTGTCTTGCCTAAAAAAATATTTTCCATTTTAATAATTTCAAAGATTTATAGAAACTACGAATAATATAGAAATAATTTCTAATCATTAAACCTACGATTAGTACACGGCACAAATGTTTAATTTGTTTTATTATTTGTGGGGACAGGGTAAAATATTCTTCTGATTCAGGCATTTTTCATTAAATCAAGATTTGCACTACAAGATTTAACTTTAAAATGTTTATTTATCTATGTCGATTTCCTTGTTGATGCGGTACGCATACAACGTTAATGCCGGTACGCATACAACGACAGATCTCTATTCACATACGCGACGACTAATCACAATCGACCTGTATAGAAATGTAAAATGAAATCATCGAGAGCGAATGACGAATCATTGGCACTCGATTATTATCTGCTATAACTCACTTCCGTTGCATTTGTACAGATTTACACCCTAGGCCTAAAGAAGTTTTACTTCAAATAAAAAAAATCTTCCTTTACTTTTAAATTTTTATATTTTCTATTTTTGTCCTCAGTCTGTTTATTTTGAGTATTGTCATTCAAGAGGCACTTTTCTATCAATATGACCCAGATCCAGTTTTCATCAGACAGTAGAGTTCTTTCTTCCTTAACTCTTAGCAGAATTTTTTCATTTGTTACCCTGTTGGTCAATTTCATCTTCTACATCCTTCACCAAAACCACATCATGTAACTTTCAGGATAAAGAGACCAAGTTTCTGATCAGTAGCACTGATCTGTATCAGTTTTTTCACAAACTGAGTTCTATTTTCATAGTCCATGTCTCCGATCCATACTGTAAAATTACAACTGATGTGTCTATTACCATTACCATGTCCTATCTTCCGCCACATTACTCTTCCATGCACCCTTAAATATATATTTTTTAAACAACTTCTAACTGATGATATGATATGAGAACTGCAACACTTGTCGCCAAAATTATTTTACGTTGTCAGAAGCACTTGCCGAATTCCACGAATTAAAACGCTCCGGCGAACAATTTGAATGAAAAGCGACACATTGGTAAATATCAAGCAAATTTCCAAATATAAATGTATATGTTGGTGGTAGATCTCTTGTTCGAAAGTGAGTCGTAACATATGATGGTGGTTGCCCTCGGAGGACACAATGAGGTGTAATTAGGCCCCGATTGTTGTCAGAAAAAAATGATGAGGTTTTTTATAGATGGATTTTGGGGTCGGATTGTGTAATTGTTGTTATTAGGTATATTGGTATACTATAAGTTATTATAAGAATAATTTTATTAATATATTGCGAAACTTAATTTAATGCTTTAAATTTTTACCTTCCTATTTATTTATAATCATTTTAGTAATCGAATTGTATATCATACGCTTTTGGTCATTGAATGTTTTTACTGAATTTTGTTTCAGATTTTCTGATATTTCTTAAGATTTCAGCTGAAGACCCTAAATTTGGGTGTTCCAAGTTTTTTTACACAAACATTTATATATTAACATTTATATTTTAAATACTTGCATGTTGCATGTACAATAAAAAGGGCTTTTGTGTGTTCATTACTCAATTCTTTTGAAATGCCCAAATCGAATTTTGCAAGTTCTAAAAATATTGTTATTTCCAA